TGGTGGGAGTGTAAATTAGTCCAACCATTGTGGAATACAGTGTGGCAATTCCTCAAGGACCTAGATATAGAAATTCCATTTGACCCAACAATCCCATTACTGGGTAGATATCCGAAGGATTATAAATTGTTCTACTATAAGGACACATGCACACGAATGTTCATTGCAGCACTGTTTAAAATAGCAAAGACCTGGAATCAACCCAAATGCCCATCGATGATAGACTGGACAGGGAAAATGTGGCACATATACACCATGGAATATTATGCAGCAATCAAAAACGATGATTTCATGTCCTTTGTAGGGGCATGGATGGACCTGGAGAACATCATTCTCAGCAAACTGACACAAGAACAGAAAATGAAGTACTGCATGTTCTAACTCATAGGCAGGTGTTGAACAATGAGAACACATGGACACAGGGAGGGGAGCACTACACACTGGAGTCTGTTGCGGGGAATAGCAGAGGGACAGTGGGGGGTGGGGAGTTGGGGAGAGATAGCATGGGGAGAAATGCCAGATATAGGTGAAGGGGAGGAAGGCAGCAAATCACACTGCCACATGTGTACCTATGCAACTATATTGCATGTTCTTCACATGTACCCCAAAACCTAAAATGCAATGAAAAAAAAATACCTACTTGTGTGTATTGCATTATTATTTTTACCTATTTATGGATTCGATGTTCTAACATTTTGTTGAGGATTTTGTGTCTATATTTATGAGAAGGTAACTTTAGCAAACCATTTACTATTTCTTAATTTCAGGTTCCTCTGTTCTAAAGTAAATTTTGTTCCCCTTAATTAAGTTACAGAATATTTGTACAGACAAAATTGAACAGCTAAATGATGACGTGCTTTGTAATTTGTAAAGTACTACATAAAGGCAAGGAATGAGAAGGGCTTGTTCAGTTTTTGTGCTGTCTCCTCAGCTACATAATTTGTCCCTCCTTTTTGCCTTCTTAGGTGTAGTGCTATTTGCTTTCATGGAAAGGAACCTATGGAAGTGATAATATGCATGAACTTCTCAGAAGACTTGGCACATTAAGTCAGGTCATCCAATATCACAAATTAGTGTAGAGTTGTTTTTTTTCCCCCCCAATTACTTTGGAACTCTTCCAAGACCAGGAATAATACTCCCAAATGAAGAGGGAATTCTGTGGCCCAGCCTGACCTTTAGAATACTGTGTCACTGCCAATACAGAAAACCTACCTAAAGGTAAGAGAAAGCCAAAGACAAGTACTTTAATGTGGTACCTTGTCTGGCTCCCAACAGGGAAATACTTGGTCAGTGTGACACTGGGCAGTGTCTCTCAGATACCTGCAGTCCAGTCTTTGTAGATAGAACTCATTTCTAGATATTTATTCAAATGGATTATTCAAATTAACAAGAGCTAGGATTTGATTTGAGCCCAAGAAAGAGTTTAATCATCATGGGGGCATGGACACAGGTCAGTGTAATAGTGGAAACTGCTCACATTAAAAAAATCTCTATATTCCTTCTTTCACCAAAAGCAAAGCTTTCAGGAAATCAATACAGAAAAATAAACTCTTCTAAGACTTGCACCACTGGAGTTGATGGGCTCTAGAAGCTGTTGCAGCAGCAACCTTTGCTAATAACACTTCACTACAAGCTGTTTTAAAGAGTGGCAGAATGTATATTATATTTACCAGAGTTTGTATATTATTATTGTTCCTTCTCTCTCTGAAATGATTCTTAATTGGCACTTTGATGTCCATGCCAGTTCCTTCATTAACCTGAAAGGGAGGACTGGTATACAATCTTTGCAACATCATTAGCCACAGCATGACCAGGAATTAAAAATTAACTATCATTAGAAAAAAAAAAAGGATCAACAAAATAATGCAAGACATAAATTCTCAAGCTTATGGGATAAGGTAAAAGAAGATTAAAATATAAATTAAATTTGCCATAAGATTCATTGGGATATGTCTCTTTTGGGTGAAAGAAATAATCCTAAAGAAAACTGGGGTTTGCAAAAGAAAATTGAATTTAATATTATTATAATTGTTACTGGTTGGGGGAAAATGTTACTTCTTTTATCAGTTTCCTCTTGCTAGGAAAAAACACTTTATCTTCTTAGCTTCATGATAAGTCTGGTTTTATATTTTACTATGTATAAATAAGGGAATTTTGAGAAGAGGATATGAATTTTTTCTAACTTCCCTAACTGATTACTAGCTAGAATCTATATCTAGGTTTAAGTAGCTTTCTTTTTAAAAACATTTCTATCTTCTATGTCTTCTACTTTTTATTAAATTTTACCTTTTTCCCTTGCATACTGGCAAAAAAGATACAACATCAACAAGCTTATGGGCCAGGTGCGGTGGCTCAGGCCTGTAATGCCAGCACTTTGGGAGTCCAAGGCAGGCAGATCATGAGGTCAATAGATCGAGACCATCCTGACAAACATGGTGAAATCCCATCTTTAAAATAATAATAATAATGATAATAAAAGAAAAGTTTATCAAAATTATCTGAGAAACCAAGACCCAACAGGGAGGCAGAGTGATTAAATTGATTGATCAGAGTTTGACAGAAGAAGGGATGTTTCCAGATTCACCTCATATGAGAATGCCAACCAACATGGCCATCCATCTAAGAAATATTTTGCAAAACATTTCTTTTTTAAAGCCCAGTCTTAATGCATAGTAACTTGGTCATTCTTTGGTTATAAAGAGTAGAATGATTTCTTCAGTACAAAAGAGTGTGAAAACTACATGCTGTTATGCCAACTCCTTTGTAAAGCAATGCCATGTTGGAGGAGGGAACCATCATTGTTCAAGGGAGCCAGGTATATGTGGTTATGGGGAGCCTTTGGAATGTCAGGCCCACAATCAGTTTCTTGTCAGGTGTGAGGGGGTTCAGGCAGATCGTGACAATACACAAAGTAGAGAGTGAGTAAGAGGCAAAGTGAGTACAACATTTTTTTGTACTCTTGATTGGAACTACAAAAAAGTGACAGAATGTGCAACTAAGGTTTTAAAATTCAAGTAAGTTGAAAAGAGTTCAAAGGAAAACAACAAGTTGATAAAGGGTTTATATGTCAGCCTCTAAATAAAGGGTGCAGAGTGCTGGGAATGTTCACTTGAAAGGAAAAATAAAACTAAAATGAGGCATAACAGTCTCTAAACATGTAAGAGGATGTTAAACAAGAGAAATCTCAATTACTCTTATTAGTTATTAATGGGATTAAGCTTTGGGAAAGTCACAAAATGTATAATATTTGAAAATCATTCTCTTCTACAGACTCAAAAATCAAAAAATAATTTCTGTGGCTCTCCAATCAAATTACCAAAGTTAGAAGCTACACATACAGTGTTGGATGTTTTCAACACATATGTGATGAAGAATATTTATATTTATGCCTCATGCCTAAATAACCTATTTGAATAAATAGGCATTGTGTTGCTAAAAACCACACTTTGGAGAAAGGAGAAATACAAATTAATCATCCATGGGACTGACTTAAAATCTTAGAAAGAGGCATAGATCATTAAAAATGAGGCAAGTACATCGATCAAATCAATGAAAAGATGGTTAAGAAATAAGAATAAATGAAATAGGCTGGAAACCATAGGATCTTGAGTACCCCCATAAAGGACAAAAGAAGTTTATTCATTGTAGAGAAGAGAACCCTTTATAAATTCACTAAGGTGACTTAAAAGTTAATGATGCCAAAATCTTAGACCTTTGCAAGAGTTCTCAAGCCTGGTGATGGCTGTGAAAACCATGATGAGAAAACTGCACTAATTATCTACAGTACTCTGGATTGTCGGGAAAGTCAAGAAAGATGAACAAACCACAATGAAACAACCAAAACTTAGAAGCCAAGCAGAGAGTGCATCAAAAAATTGATCTTAACAGATTTGTCAATCAGATTGGCAGTATCTAAACAAGTGCAAAATGAAATCATAAGACAGTCACAAAAGAAAAACTAAAAATCAAAAAGTTTTGAAAACCCTACAGGATGCTATTGAAAGGAAAAGATACTAATACAGACCATTACAAAGGACAAGTCTGTAGAGCTGACCAAGATTACAAACAAAATCTCTTTGGAGTGATAATGGTGAAAAAGAGAAACAAAGATGTGAGGATATGGGCTCAGGGTGGATAAGCAGGAAACTTTAACCAAGCTCACCACATGCAGAGAATTAAGGAGAGGGTGGTTGACAGAAAAGAATAAAATGTTATTAGGGAATGTGTCTCTTTGTGCCGAGTGCTATCTCCTGAATCCAAGCAAGCAGATGAGTGAAGGGAAGATTTGTGGTTGGATGAAGAGTCTTTAAAAGGTACATCCCTGAATCACAGAAATCAGGCCCTGGCAAATGCCTGTTGGGTGCCAGAGTTCACTGTCTCACTGCACTGTTGCTCCCAGCAGGTGTCTGGCAAATGCTGTATCCAGTTGGGTTCCAGGCTAGCAGGACAGTCTTGTGCACAGAAGGCAACCTTTCAATTACTATATAAAAAACTGGACGTTAATACTCATGTATTAACCATGTTTGACAGACAGAATAGAAGTTTAGGCCCTTTGGAATAGTAGTGGAGAGTCTCTGGGAAAAGAGCTCAGGGAGACAGTGTATACTCATGGTGACTGGAAGTGAAGACAGATAAAAGACTAAAAGCCAGGAACGGGAAAATATGTGAAGGAATGGGAAGAACTAAGGGCTTGACATATGTGAAGGAATGGGAAGAACTAAGAAAATATGTGAAGGAATGGGAAGAACTAAGAAAATATGTGAAGGAATGGGAAGAACTAAGAAAATATGTGAAGGAATGGGAAGAACTAAGGTGGTCTGGTGAAACTAAAGGTAGGTAGATGCTCAGTACAGCAGAAACCACTCAATGAATATTGACACTAACTCAAATGAAAGACTTAGGCATATAAAATCTAATCTGGGATGCTGATGAGTTCTATTATAGCTAGTCCATGTGCATTTAATATTGTTACAGAGAAAGTATCATAATATAGTGCTTACTGAAAATGATAGTGGGACAGAGTGGGATCCTGATGTATATTTGTAGAATTTCAGTTTTCTTCTGGTACCAGTAACCACTTCTATTCTGCGCAGAGAGAACACAAAAGGAACTGGTTACACAGTGCTCAAATAAAACTTATGGCAACAAATAAGAGAGGGCAGGCATTTCCAGTCTCTTATATAACTAGGGGCAGAGTTTTCTGAGGAAGCTGGGAAGAAGCAAACATCTTAAAAATACTATTAATAGATAATCCCTGCTTGAAAGGCACTTTGAGCAACTGCAGCTTGAATGAATAAGAAAACCCACCAATAGTCATAAGACCCCTGATAGAACAAAGAGATCAGCAAAACCCAGAGGAAAAGAGAACTCAGATTTAAGAATAACCCCTTAATTACATCTAGCTAAGAGTTTTACCATTTCCTTGGTGGCGAGGAGCACTGAAATGATCAGAATCTCTTTCAGAGTAAAGGGAAAGTAATTATTCATAACCATACAGTGTAGTACATGTGTAGTTCTCATGCCTTAAGGACACTTTTGTTGCCTTCACAACGAGGTCACCTATTGCTGCAAATAAATATCTAAACTGGAGAGACTGATGATAGCAGTTAAAATTGTAATACATAAAGGTGGAAGAGCTTACATAGAAATGAAGTTACAAGTTATGCAGTGATTTAAAAAAACCATGACTAAATTCACAATTTTGCTAATGTGAGGGTTTTTAAGCAAAGGAGAGCATAGGTTTCTTGGGGCTTTATTTTCACTTTTAGCTATATTAAAAATCACGTGAGAATAATTTAGTGACACAAAATTTCTCCAATTAGAATCGAGTTTGTAGCAGAATTCTTCTGTTGGTTATACCTTTATGTATCTAATCTTGTGAGGTCTAACTGACCATTATTTGCCACACCTTTCCAGGAGACAATGATCACAGCCTATTGTCTGTTTTTGTTTGTTTGTTTGTTTTGAGATGGAGTCTGGCTCTGTTGCCTAGGCTGGAGTGCAGTGGCACAATCTTGGCTCACTGCAACCTCCACCTCCCGGGTTCAAGCAATTTTCCTACAAACTCCACCTCCCAAGTTCAAGCGATTCTCCTGCCTCAGCCTCCCTAGTAGCTAGGATTACAGGCATGTACCACCATGCCCAGATAATTTTTGTATTTTCAGTAGAGACAGGGTTTCACCATGTTGGCCAGGCTGATCTCAAACTTCTGATCTGAGGTGGTCCGCCAGCCTTGACCTCCCAAGTGCTGGGATTGCAGGAGTGAGCCACCACACCTGGCCTACAGCCAATTGTCTTGACTTATATAGTCACAGACTTTATTCTTAGCTATAGATCATACTTGCTAGATAATGGGTTAAAACAGAATCTAAATATGTGACTTAGTTTATTTATTTGTTAAGTAGATATAAGAAATTGAATATTTCCTAAACTTGGAAAGCTGCAGTGAAGACTAATGGGTATATGTAAAGCACTTTTAAATATAAAATCAGCAAACATAATAACTGAAATGGCAATGTGTCCAAATAAAACCGAAACCAAGAATATTGTAACATTATATTTTTTAAAACTACAATGGAGAAAAAAATTTCTCTTTTATTTGTTTAAGGTAAGGGGTGTATTTCACCCTTAAAACCATGAATGCCTTCCCTGAGAGATGTCCCACGGCTCATTGATATAAGAGTCATTGAAATGTAATGGCAGCATCATGATTCGATGTTCTTCACTTTTGTACACTGTTTACCAACTGCAGGTTTGTAGATATACCCATTCATAATATCTTGAGTATTATAACATTAGGCAACACAGAATTCAATGGCTTTTGACTAGTGAATTCATCCTCAACTGAAAGGTAAACATCTAATATCAGATTAGTTGACAATTCTGATCTTTGGTAGTCTATCACATTAAGTCATGGTACTATTTATATTCATTCAACAAACTTTTCATTTTATTAGTCTTCCCATTTATAAAGTCATCTAAAATTTATGAAAGGTGATGAGGAAAAGCATGTTTTCACAAAGAACTAAAATGTTAGTTAACAGTCTTCTTTTGTTCCCAAGAAATTTAAGGAGGATCACAAAAACAGGTAACATCAAGATTATACAGGTTAGTGAGAAACCTGTAACAAAAGGAAAAGATAGGAACATTAAACAAATCCAGGAATGAAAGAGAAGCAAAAGCATGTACTACTTTTTTTTGGGGGGGGAAGGAAGGGAGGAAGGCAGGAAGGGAGGGATGAAGGAAGGAAGGAAGGAAGGGAGGAGGGAGGGAGGGAGGGAGGGAGGGAGGGAGGGAGGGAGGGAAGGAAGGAAGGAAGGAAATCAAGCAATGAGAGAGACATTGCCGACCTGGATCTAGAGGTTTACAAGTTGATTTTTTTTTCTTTCTTTTTTTTTTTTTTTTTTGAGAGAAGGAATGAAAAAAAATGAGTAAAGGAGAGGAAGAAAGAGGAAGAGAAAGAGGGAGGGTAAATGGAAATATTGCTTTATTCTGAAAAAAAAAAGGGTATAATAATGGCCAATCAATGTTTCATTTAAACCTATGAGTAGGTGTGATGTGGTATTGACAAGAATGTATATTTTGTGTATTTGAAGTGGAGAGCTCTATAAATATTTATTAAGTTTACTTGCTCCGGATCTGAGTTCGAGTCCTTGATATCCTTATTAATTTTCTGTCTCATTGAATCTAAGTCTCTATGTATCTGGGTGTTAAGATCATTAGCTCTTGTTGTTGCATTGATCCTTTTACCACTATATCTTTGTTGCTTTAAAATCTATTTTATCCGATATGAGAATTGCAACTCCTGCCTTTTATTTGTTTATTTATTTATTTTTGCTCTCCATTTGGTTGGTAAATCTTTCTCCATCCCTTTGTTTTGAGTCTTTGTGTATCCTTGCATGTGAAACAGGTCTGGATGTAACATGCCGTTGTTTTTTGGCTGTGTCTTTTGATTGGGGGATTTAGTCGATTTAAATTTAGGGTTACTGCCATTTGATGTTAACTGGCTGTTTTATCCATTCGTTGATGTAAATTCTTCTTTATGATGGTGCTCTTTACTTTTTGGTATATTTTTAGAAAGGCTAATACTGGTTGTTTCTTTCTGTGTGTAATGCTTCTTTCAGAAGCTCTTGTAAAGCAGGCCTGGTGATAATAAAATCTCTGAGTACTTGCTTGTTCATAAAAGATTTTATTTTTCCTTCAGTTGTGAAGCTTAGTTTGGCTGGATATGAAATTCTGGGCTGAAGGTTCTGTTCTTTGAGGATGTTGAATATCGGCCCCCACTCTCTTCTGGCTTGTAGAGTTTCTGCTGAGAGATCTGCTGTAAGTCTGATAGGCTTGCCTTTGTGGGTAACCTGACCTTTCTCTCTGGCTGCCCTTAGTATTTTCTCCTTCATTTCAACCCTGGTGAATCTAACGATTATATGCCTTGTGGTTGCTCTTCTTGAGGAATATCTTTGTGGTGTTCTCTGTATTACCTGGGGTTGAATGTTGACCTGCTTTGCTAGTTTAGGAAAATTTTCCTGAATAATATCCTGAAGGGTATTTTCCAGCTTGGATTCATTCTCTCCATCGCATTCAGGTACACCTATCAAACGTAAATTAGGTCTTTTCACATAGTCCCACATTTCTTGGAGACTTTGCTCATTCCTTTTTATCCTTTTTTCTCTAATCTTGTCTTCTTGTTTTATTTCATTAAGTTGGACTTTGACCTCTGATATCCTTTCTTCTGCTTGAACAATTCGAGTGTTTAAACCTGTGTATGCTTCTCGGTGTTCCTGTATTGTACTCCTCAATTCCATTAATTCACTTATATTCCTCTCTAAGTTGTCTATTCTCAATAGAATTTCATCAAACCTTTTTTCAAAGTTCTTAGTTTCTTTACGTTGGGCTACAACATGTTCTTTTAACTCACATAAGTTTCTTATTATCCATTCCCTGAAGCGTGATTCTGTTATTGGGATGCGCTCATTCTCCATCAAGCCTTGTTCCATTGTTGATGTGGAACTGTGATCATCTTTAGAGGGAGAGGCATTCTGATTTTGAGTATTCTCAGCCTTTTTACACTGGTTTCTTCCCATCATTGTAAATTTATCCTCATGTTGTCTTTGAAATTACCAACTTTCAGATTAGGTCTCTTGAGTGGACGTCCAAGTTGTTAATTCCCAGGGCCAGAACAGCGGCGTTAAGACTGATGGTGCTTTTCTGCCCAGGATTCTCCTGTCTGGCTTCCTTCTTGTGTCTGTAATAGGTGACTCTGCCTTCCTGGGGCTCCAAACCTCGGTCAGAAGGGGAACCAGTCTCGTTTACTCTGTGCCAAGAGCTGCCGCACCAAGGTGCCGTCACGGCCTCTGCGCCAGCCTCAGGAATCATGCTGGGGACCCATGTGGGTTCTCCAAACCTTGGTCGGAGGGGAGCCACCCCTGTTTACTCTGCTCCGAGAGCTGCCACACCGAGGTGCTGGGGAAACTGCTGCGCTGGCCACAAGAGTCACACTGGCGACCCGTGTGACCCCTCCACTGGGGTTCTTCTGCTCTGTGAGCGACCAGAATTTGTCTGAAAGTGTGGCGTCCTCTAGTTCTCTGCACTTCCACTGAGAGCTGCAACCCTGAGATGTTAGCGGTTGGCCATCTTGGATTGTTCCACGCATGTACTATTAAGCCCAATCTTATTGTCAAAAATGGGTTTCAGATTAAGTTTCATGTTTTTTAGTGGCATACGCAAAGGAGTAAAAGTCCTCAGTTACATGCATCTTAGAATCTTTATGATAATGTAAATATACTGTCTCAGAGAAGCACAATTATTCTTGATACTAAGACTACAAAGAAGTTTCTCAAAGTGTCCTCGTGGAAATTGTCCTAAACAGCATGCTTACTTCAATCCCAGGAACAAGTTTCACAGGGCTGTTCCTTAAAGCTCCCAGTGGAATCAATTTAATAAAAGCAATTTTGTAGAGAAGATGAAGAGTGAGGGTCAGTTTATTGAGGTCTATTTTCTCAGTGCCATGAAGAGTCACAAAAAAATGCTATATAAAGATATGAATTTCTGCCAAGGAAATCTTATAATAGTAACAACTTCTATATACA